CATTCCCCCACGGCCTGTCCCAAGCAATGCCCTCCCCAACTCCACCTAATGTCAATGCCATGATCCCTCCTAACATCCACTGCCCCAGTAAGGGGCCAGCACGGCCCATCTGTGGCACAAGCTAGGCCTTTCTTGGCTACAGCTTTTGGGGACTAAACTCGTATAATAAAACATTTAAACATTTATATAAAAGCCCAATGCTGAGCACGAGCAGCATTTCAGGGAATTTCCCAAAAGGTCTTTTCCTGAAAGCACTGTCAACAACGTAATAGGTATTCAGGGAAACCCCGAGTATCACAGTGCAAAACAAGCCTCAGAAAGCGTAGCATGGGCTGATGTCAAAAATTATTTGTTTTGCTTTTTAACGAAGATGTTTCATGGATGCTCCGCACTATTTCAAGAGGTGTACGCCCAGTTATTTTCAGATAGCTTCCACCCTGACAAGACTTTAATCTTAAATATGGCTGCATTAACAAATACTCTTCTTGGTCAACAGTTCAGGTACACAAGGGACACAGTGCAGCAAAACCAGCAATACTGCTGTGTGACCTGCTCGTCAGAGGCATTCGCCTTCTAGGACTTTCCTGTGTCACATTCTCCACAAACAGCAGACTGACGACATGCAGCATTACAGACGCAACGACGTCAGTCTTGTTCTAGGGGCTGTTGGATGAGAACAGCAACAAAGGGGAGGGGAAATCACAGCAGCGCAAATGTTGTTCAAGGTGATGGGGAGAAACCGTAAAGGTTCCTCGAACATACCTCACGCAGTTGATAAGGACACTACATCTCAGTGATCATCTGCATTAGCGCAATTTTTATTTTGGTAGGAAGTACCTTCATTTTCCACATCACAAAATGTCTGATCATTCATCCATCTTTCCTACGCTCAGCACAATGACCCGCTATGCTCTGAAATAAACAGGAAAGGGTAATGTATTGTGTATCAAATAAACTCAAACCTCAACACGGAGGTGCAAAAAACGGACTACCTTGCATTAGTATCTGCACCTTGTTAAATTCCCGAGTGGTCTTTTTTTTCCCCTTCCTAACTTACAGAAAGCATTAAGAAAGGAAGAACTGCCCCAAAATGGGTTTAACAATTCTGCTTTGCAGACACATACTACTTCTCACCTACAGGCTTCAAAACTCCTCACAAATCTCAACTGTACTTCCCAAGAGTTTTTGAAATAAATGACACTATGTCACCGGCTCCAGATGGGCAACGGAGTCATGAAGCGCCACTCTAGCTCACATGATGGCTCTGACAAAAGACTTCAGAGGTTTTAACCCTCATTTGCTGTTGCTCTGGGCCACGTCTGATTTTTTTTTTTCTTTTCAAGCATTTGTATGAGAAAAATATTCAATTAAGTCACTCATCCTACTGCACACGATTATGTTCTTGTCTTGCAGAGATAATCAAAGCTTCTGGGAATTCCAGACATTTTTATATAAAACAGAGAGCAATTATTAAGTAGTGAATAATCAGACTAAAAGCTACACAGAAGAAATTAAGACCACAGGTACAAGGCCTAATTCTGACAGCAGTAAAGAGCAGCAAACATTATTTTCTGGTTGTATAATTAACTAAGCAACTTTGTGCTCGAGAGTAGAGCAATAGCTAAGCACAAAAACTCCAGCTGCAAGCACAGGTCTCCAAACACTTCTGAAACTCGAGGCAACCCAGATGAAGACACTGAGGGTCTGCAGCGTCACAAGTATCTGCTTGTGCAGCACGATGTGCAGCATTAGTGTCAGGGAACCACTCAAGCCATAAGCTATCCAAAAATGTAAGACCTGGTGTAAAAGCACACTTTCCCCTTATAAACTGCTGAAGAAAGAAATCAGGGTCCAGTGGTAAATTGAGTAACTTTGATCTTGCAAATGGATTTTTTAAGAAAAGGTAACATAATTAAATAATAAACCCAATCTCTAAAAATCCATATTTGAATTTAAGGACTAACAGAGTGAAATTAAAGTTTCCTTTCTTCTTTCTTCTTTCTTCTGGTTTCCACTAAAGTTCTGGAATGGGCTTCTACTAGTGTGAACAAGTAACGTTAGAACACAAGTAGATGGGTACTGCAAATACACGCGTGCAAGCAGAATGCACTTAAAATACACCTTTTCTTCACGATGTAGTCTAATTGGTTCATGCTAGCGCTCAGAATAATTGGAAACTATCTGGCAGAGCATCTGGTAAACTACAGGAAGGCCTTTTATTTCTAAAACGTTATGACCGTTCTGTCTGGCACTGTTGAGAAGGGGAACAATTTCAGTACCAGTTCGGGGGTGCAGAGAGTAAGACAGTGTGGGTGCTGAGTTTACACCACCTGCCCTTTCCAGCATTCCCTGTGATCATGTTCACCCTGCCCAGGGTGAACGAAATATATTAAAAGTTTAAGGAACGTGAGCACAAAATGAGCGTATTGCAGGAAAAAACCGTGTGTACGAAGCACTGCAGAGTGGGGCTTCCATCCTTCGGTCTCTCAATCACCGCACCGCACCGCA